TTTCACTTGGCCTCATTTAGAAACTATTTTAAGACGCATCTCCAGGTGTCCCCTGATGTCGTCTGACCCTCGAACGTAGTCAGCTTCCTCATTTATGTCACAGGTGTTGTCATCAGAGCGGGCGCTTGTCACCACTGACACTCCCGGAATTGCCCTCCTCCCGCCACCCTAGGTCCTCACGTGTGGCTTCCCTGCGAGCCTCTCTCATCCTTTGTCGATGGAAGTGCGCAGCGTCCTGTCCAGGACTTCGTCGGGGAAGGCAGACTCCAGCCTGGCGCACGTCTGGGTGACGTCCCCGCCGCGATGACACGGGAGGTTAAAGCTGGAGGACCTGAGCTCGGAGTCCCTAGGCTGTCAGGCTCCCTCTCTCCCCAGGACTGGTGTGCGTGCCTGTGGCACCGGAGTTGGCTCCAGGCCTCTTGGTGTCACCCCTTGGATGGACCCTTTGATCTCGGGCCCACAGGCACCGGTGGACAGACAGGCGGGCAGACCTGGCCGGGGCCGAGGGCAAGGGGTGGGGAGGGTCTCGAGGGACTGCGGGCCGTGTGTGTGGTGGAGCGGGGCCAGTCATGGGGATGGGAGACGCTCAAGCTTGGGTGGTGGTACAGCTGAGCTGTGTCCCCCCAGACCAGTGTGTTGGGTCTTAACCCAGCACCTTGGAGGGTGGCTGTCATTGCAGACGGGGTCTTCACAGAGTGCAAGTTGAAACGAGGTCACTGGGGTGCGTCCTAAGCCCCTGGGGCTCTGGAGGCGGCACTTCCTAGATGGAGGCGACCGCGGGGTGGCTCCCCCGAGGGCGTCTCCTCCCCGCGTCCCCACCCAGCCTTCCTCCCTGGGTGTCGTGTCCCTCTTCTAATGACGCTGGGAGCAGTTTCCCCCGAGACAGAGGCTCTGCCGGGCCTGGTGCAAGACTGCGGGCGCCGAGCAGGGTCCGCCGGCCACGCACGCTTCGCGTTGTAGGTTTGTGTGATTTTGAAAAGGCCTGTTGTCGGAGAGCCCCCGAGAAGCCAGCTGGAGGGCAGACTGGGTCCTGGAGCAGCTGGGCTTCTATTTGGGAAGCAGCAAGAGTGCTGCCGGCCCCGTGTTGCTCAGACTCGGCCACAGTCGGAGAGGGGGCCCGTCTGTCCTGAATCGGCCACCGGCGCCGCACACGGCCGTCTCGCCCTCCTAACTGCTCAGGCCTTCCTGAGAGGACGCACGGGGCTGAGCTGCACGGTTTCGTGGCCCTGCCCCTAATTCAGCCTGAAGGAGACCCCACGTGAGCTCCTTCCACTTACCAGGAATCCGTGTTCACCAAGTGAAACAGAAAACTCGTGTCTTACAAAACGTGCTGGGACCACGTGCAGGGAGTGGAGACGTCACGGCAGGGGATGAGGATGGTCACTTCCCCAACTTGATTGTTTAATGAAAGAGTTTGAATCCAATATGGCTTCTCCAGTGCAGACCGACGGCAGAGCAAGTCACTGTTTATTCTTCAGCTGAGTCACGCTGGACACGGATGACCTGAGGTGCCACAACCCAAGGCCCGAGGGACTGGACAGCGGTGTGGGGGCTGCCGCGCCCCTGCCCCTCAGATGCGAGGTGTCTCCCCTGTCATCCATCTCTACCTCTCTGTCTCACTGCCTCCCTACCTGTCTTTCCTCTTCCATCTGGCCCCAAATGACCTGATTCCAGTGAAACCCAAGCCCAGCCCCCAGAGGTCAAAGGTCAGAGGGCACCCCCCCCGCGGCACTGAACCGGCCCCTGCAGAGCTCAGTCGGTCTTGCTGGTCCGAGTGCCCGGCAGAGGCTGAATTCGCGAGCCTGTTCCCCTGGTGGGGTAAGTGCGGCCCCAACTCCCTAGTTGCGGGAGGAGAAGTGCTTCTGGGTGACAAGGACACCAACGGCCTTGCTCAGCAAAGGGGCAGCCATTCCGCTGCCCGGGGCTCAGATCCGCCACCGCGGCGCGTGCCCCGCCAGCCTGGGTCAGCGGAAAGAGGAGCTCAAGCTCAGAGCTACCCCGACGCTGCTGCGGGCCTGGGGGGGAGGCAGCACCTGGCTGGTTTCAGAGCACGCGGCTCCTCCCTGGGAGCCCCCAGCCCATGACGTGCCACCTGGCGCTTCTCCCCGAGCACCCGCGTTCTGCCCCGTCACCCGACCACCCGTCCTGGTCGGCCGCGCTGTCTTCTCCACCCGGCAGGTTTGGGCAAATCTCTAGAGCCCCAGGGTCTTCCCTGCCCGAGACCCACTCGGGGTGCCCAGGGAGCCGCCCCCCCGGGGTGGGGGGCACCAGGCTCTGTGCTTGCTCTGCCATCAACCCTGGACCCTGTTCCCAGGCCGCACAGGTGGCCCCACCGTCACTCCCGTGGCGCTGGACCGCTGGCTCTCAGCTCTCAGAAGCAGCTGTGCATTGCACACAGGGTCTGCCCATGGCCACCCGGAGCCCCGACCCCTCCCATGGGCTCAGCAAGATGACAAATTATCACTCGATCTGCACGCTTGGCTGGCAGATGTGACGCCCGTCACTGCTTTGCTAATGGGAGCAGAATCTCCTGGTGAGAACCAGGGCTGAGCCCGCCCGCCCGCCCCTGACCCCGGCAGCTCAGCTCATCCTGAAGATGCGGGAGGGGGGCTTTCAAGAGGTCATGGGGGCCTCAGCCTCAGCCTCACAGCCCTCTGGCTCCACTGACGCTCCCAAGGTCACCAACAGCCAGCACAGACGTGAGCGTGACCGCTGGTGGGTGGGAGACGGGACAGCCGCTTTTCCCAGACGGCAGCCTCCGCTCAGGGTCTGAGTCTACACTGAACGGTTTATTGGCAAACTGGGTCAACAGATGTCAACACCTGTGGCCACAAAGCCACGTGGACATTGAGGGGATGACACAAAATTGTCCTCATAAGGGCTGGTGCTTAACCGGCTCTCTGGGGGCCTCTGAAGCCCCAGGGCCTGGAAGGGCAGCTCAGCTGAGTGACCCGGACATTGACCCTGGAAGTGCTTGAGGTTGTTGGCAGATGGGAACGTGCCTCCACGGATGCATTTTAAAGCCAGAGCTGCCCGAATGAGACACGGCCCCCAGCCTCCTGAGAGGTGCAGGCTTCTGGCTGGGGCAAGGGATGCCTGCCTCAGCTTCAGGACAGGCTGGTCCTGTGTCAGGGGACCTGCTCCCAGGCAGCCGTGCGGCCCCCCGATGTCGTCTGTGTCCGCTGTTGGCACGGCATCCCGTGAATGTGGCCTCCTCCCCCAGGCTCTCCTCGGGCCCCGGCAGTTCCCTGGGGAATGCTGGACCGTCTGGGCCAGCGGGGCACCTGGTGATGTAGGACACCTGTGAAGCCAGCAGGCCCAGGGAAGCAGGGCGTGGAGGGGCCTCGAGGCCGGAGGCAGGCAGCCGCGGGCTTGTCCAAGGACGTGGAGGGGTGGGCTGCTGGGGAACCAGACACCGCCTCTGCCGAGAGGATGTCTCCATGGGGCCACCCCAGGCCCCTATCCCTCCCCACTCCCCTGCCCCCCACCCGGCACCCTCTGGCAAGGACGTGCCTGAAAACAAACCAAAGTCCTCACAGGTCCCTGGGAGCCCTGGCCCACCAACACGTGGCTCCCGACTTTGTAACCACGGCGCGGCCCTGCTGGGGAAGGGGTAGGGCCAAGGGCCTGACGTCCGGGCTGCAGCCTGACTTCGCTGTCTCCTGGGGTGCGACTTTGGGAGAAGTTCCTGCGCTGGGTCTCTGCCGCAGAAAGAGTCTTTACAGAAAGTGGGGAGGGCGCAGAGTGGCAGGCGGTGCCCACGGGGGCCAAGAGGGGGTCCCGGGGTGCTGTGTGGCCTGGGGGAGTGCCGGTGGGTCTGCCCTCGCCCTGCGGCTGCCCTTGGGAGCATCCGGCAGGTTGCTGTTCCTGAACCTCAACTTTGACCACCTGCCCTGCCCCCACCGGGCCAGGGTCTCTGGGGGGCAACGCGGGCCCAGGGCCGGGGGCGGATTCTGTTGAGATGGTGCCCCGTCTGTGGCGGCTGCTGTGGGGCTTACACTACGCCATGTGCCCACCCCCCACCACAAGGCTGAGCCGCTCGCAGGGCTGGGAGCTGCAGGCCACGTGGCCCGTCAGGTGTCCTGTGACAGGCTTGGCCTGACCCTCGCACACTCACGACCACTAGGCCCTGGGCATGGCTGCCGTCCTGGTCTTGGGGAGGCTTGGCGGAGCTCAGAGGGTCCAGGGAGGGCGGAGCGTTTTGCAGGGAGGGTTTCCACAGGGAAGGCGGGAGGGGGTCCAGCAGCAGCACAGAGGGGCAGGGTAGGGCTGCGGCGGTGGCGGAGGTAGGGGAGAGAACACACCGGCTGGATTCTGCTTCTCAGTCTCACCAAGGATAGGCCAGTTTGGGCACCTCTTGAACTAAAAATGGACATTTCAGGATAAATACGAGGACGTCATCTCATACACTGACTCTTGCTGAGTAAACCCGAGAGACTGGGCTGAGATGACAGGACGCCGACGAGCCACGGACGGACTCCCAGGACCTGAGAGACCTCGGCCACCCATCCCCCGCTCGCCGGTGGCCGGAGGCGCCCTGCGTTCACCAGCAGCCCTGGGGGCGGGCCTCGCTCCGCCCGTCTCCGGGAGACGAGGTCCAGATAAGCGCGCGCACCTGCCCAGGACCACACAGCTCGACGGCATCGCAGCACAGCCGGCCGCAAGCCCGGGGGTCTGGTCCCGCACCCTTGCTCTCCCCCAGGTTGCTCCGACTCCCCGGGGTTCGGGGTTCTTCCGTGCACCCCGCTCGGGGTGCTGCTAGAGCGTCCAGCAGACGCTGATGCCAGGTGGGTCTCGGGTTTGACCCGGGGACGGCCATGCTAACAATTTTCAGGTATTAGAAGTGTGTGGGGCGAGAGGGGGGAGAGGCAGGTGGGGGCGGGCAGTCAGCCTGAGCCCTCACTCCGGGATGGCGCCCCTGACTGTCGCTGCGTTCTGGAATCACCAGGCCGCATCCCTGACCAACCAGACGGGCTTCGGGGGCTGGGAGGCAGGGATTCTGTAAGTGCTTGGGTGGCACCACAGGGAGGCGGCCTCTGCGTCCCCCGAGGGGTTAGGATAATGCTGCTCATCCGCGTGGCTGCTGGGAGCCCTGGGACACCCACCTGCGGGCGCCCGACGCCTGCTCTGGCCGCCGAGTCCTGGGGGCTCTGCACCTGCTTTACCGACAAGGGAAACGTGAGACCCAGGGGCTGATACTGGTCAGAAAGAAAAGCCGTAAGCAAAGAAGCTAAAAGATAATATTTGTTAAATAAGGAACACTCGTGAAACAGCAGTGAAATGGTATTAAAATGTCTGTGATCACGTCCTTCTCAGCGCTGGTCTGATAACATAAGCAGGAGAAGCAGCAGCTGCACTTAAAAAAAGGACAAGGAAATAGCCGTTGGCTTAGTTGACCGAGAAGGTTCGTGTCCCGTGTGCGACCATCAGTGCCACTGTTGTCACCAAGGTGTCAGGGCGGGTGGTTCAAGCGGCCGTGTCCTTATGCTGAGGGGCGTCCGTGGCTCCTTTGCCTGGAGGTCCTGGAGTAAACCTGGGCCCCCCCTGGGAGGGGCGGGCCTGTCCCCCAGCCCCCGACCTACGAGGCCACAGGATTGCATATTGCTGCGTGGGGGCTGCTGAGTGTGGACACGTTCCGGAGGAGGCCCGGCATTCCCAGGGTGGGGACAGTGTGGAGGGAGACACGCTTGGGGTGCGTGGGCTAGGGCTGCCAGGGGAAACAGCCTGGGCCACAGGCGGACAAGCACATGCCCCCAGCCCCTTGCCTACTGCACCACATTCCGTGGGAATAAACACACCTTCCAGTCTGAATATTGCTAACGAGATGGCGTTCCAGGCGCTGGCCGCCGCGCCCTCGCCGATCCCCCAGAATCCGTCCGGAGGCTGCCTCGTGGTCCAGGTCTTTGGGGTTTCCGCTTGGGAGGGTCGGCAGTGCCCTCCGTCCGAGCACTACACGGCTCTGAGAAGGACATGGAAGGGTGGAAACGGGGGCTGCGTGGGCAGAGGCCCCAGGGCTCCAAGTGTCCTTGGTGATGGCAGACACTGCACAGACCCACAGGCTGTCCGCCTGGGTCCACCCTTGCCGGCTCCGCGCCCGCTGGCCAGGCTCCTCCGGGCGCCCGGGGAGGCTCACAGGTGGTTGTTCTTGGAGAGGTAGGCGATGAGGGCCACGGCCACGCCCACGTAGATGCCGGTCCCGATGGTGATGGAGAGCACGGCCAGGAACAGGGCCCGCCGGGAGCTGGTGCTTGCCTGGTGGAAGTCCCCCTTGGCCACTGCCTTGTTGGTCTGCAGAGTTGGAGGGGGGAGGAGAGAATGGGGGTCATGGTGAGCAGGCCCGGCACAGGAGCCTTGACCCTAGCGGACCTCAGAGAGGACTTGCCGAGAGGCTGCGTGCTCCCAGCAGACGGCAGGGCCAGGGAAGGGAGGACTTGGGCTGTCATTGACCCCTGCCCACCCCCACCCCCACCCCCACCCCCCAACCCTGGGAGGCAGTCAAAGCTTAAAAGAAAGAAATCAGGGTCCTGGGAGATACCCGCGGCCAGCAGTCGTCCAGCTGAGCACCTGCAGGGGGGCTGGGGTTGCTGTAGTGGAGCCCCCCCCACCAGCCCCCTCGACACAGGAGATGCCAGACTGTGGGGACTGTCATGTGATCCAGCTGTGACATCATGGGGGGGACCACCATTGTGAAACGGCTCCTGTGGCAGACGAGGGTGGAGGCCACCAGGGCAGGACCCCGGAAGCCCCATGTGACACCAAGGAGGTCTGACCCCCGGCGGCTGGGGGGACTGCTCGTCAGGGCAAAGGTGGGACCAGTCCCTCAGGACCCACCTACAGACCCTGGACTCTCACCGGACCCCATTTCCGTGCATCCTTGGTGTGTTTCTACATTTTTACTCAAACTGAAAAACAGTGAGGTTGCAGAGGGTCAGACTCAGGGTCACCAGGAGCTACTTTCTGCCCTCCGTGGCCCTGACCCTGACCCGGCGAGATCTGGACTCATGTCGGCTTGGCTCCTGGCCCCCTCCTTTCTCTGGCTCTGGGCCTCGAGGGACGTTCAGTCCTCCTCCCCGATCTCGGGCTTGGATGTGAGGGGGTGGGCAGAGAACGAGGACAATGGTGACTTGCTCCGTCTCGGCTGACGTTGCCATATCTGCTGGCCCCCAGACTCTGCGGGGCCCCTCTGCGATTCCCCGGACCCGCCTCCTGCTCTGTAGGGGACCTCTCCCTGCAGCCTAGCCTGGGCCCGCCCGTGGAGCCACGCAAGCCACAGAAGGAGGAGGCCGGGCCCGGGCACCCAGCCCCCGCAGGGCTGAGCACTGACCCGCCTCGTCCAGCTTCGCGCACGTTGGTTGTGACGTGTGGTAGTTGGGAGCCATGGCTCGGCTGTTACAGGCTGGCACCTGCTGGGCCCCGGCCCAGGCGGGACAGGCTCCCTGAGGGCCGCCCTCGGCAGCCTGGCCCTCGGCAGCCTGACCCGCGGGCGCCCGGCGCTGAATCCAGGCCCCCGCCCTCCCTCCAGACGGTGGGCTCACTGTCCTCTGCGGACGTCCACCCCCCACCGCTGTGCGACCTCAATCCAGAATGAGATGCCAACCTCCCACGGGGTCCGAGGGTCCGGGGTTGGGAGCTGAAGCGGGAACCTGCTCACAGCATCCCTGCCAGGACCTGCCGGCTCCTTCCTCGCGGCCCTGCTGGCCTCCGGTCCACTGAGTCCCCCCAGGACGGCAGCCTGGCCTCGTGGCCTCTCAGGACCGGCTTCTGGGGCCCTTCGCGGAAGTGGTGCGGGGGGGCGTGGTGCCGGCATCCTCCCCGCCGAGAACATGCTGCTCGCCGACCCCGGAAGGGCCCAAAGGGAAGAGAGGTTCCACACCAAGTATTGGGAGAACGCGGGAAATCCCAGCTCTCCCGCAGACCTGGTGGGAGCGTGAACTCTCATCCCTGCCTGGAGACTCACGCTCGCGACAGACGTGTCCCACTCCCCGCAAACCTCCCCACGGCAGTTCCGTGTTTGGTCCCCAGGGACGCTGACGGGTGGTCCGTGACCATCCCAGCCCTGACCGCGAAGCCAGCCCAAGTCCACCGACAGTGACAGGACACATGACAACGGTCCCCGACACGCGGTGAAATGCATCTCGGGAACTCAGCGTGGGCCAGAAGGAGCTGGACACAGGGTTCTGCCAGGTCGTAGCCCGTGAAGTACAGAACAGGCCAAGCCATGCGTGGGGTTGGCAGGGAGGCCGGGGCGGAGGGTGTCTCTGGGGAGGGGCAGGAACTGGCAGAAAACGCAGTTGAAAGCACTCACTCACATGGAGATAATTCGAGAGGACTCTCCGAGGTCAGACGAGCAGACGGGGCCGTCTGCAAAGCCAGAGACGCTCCTCTCCCGGGGCAGGGAAACCGCGGCCTCGGAGCCCGAGGGGGAAGGCGGGAGGGAGAGGCGGGTTCCCTGTCAGGTGGGCGCGGGTGAGGCGGGGTGGGTGGGCTTCTCCGCGCTGCCCTGCCTCTGGGGGACTTCTCCACCGCTGCTCACACCATTTTCACCCCAACTCATCGACTTCCCCTGCCCTGCCCTGCGGGGAAAGGGCCCTGGGCCCTGCGACCACCCGAGACCTGCATCACTGCCCTGCATGTCTTCATGGAGTTTACGCTTCGTCGCTCTTCACAGCTTCTTCCCTGAATCCCGCTGGTCGGGTACTGACATCCCTGCAGCTGGCTGTTCAGAACCACCTCCCTTCTGGCCAGGAGACCCCGTAACTCGGGGGTTCTGGAAGCAACACAGGAGCGTGGGTGGCCCGAGGGGGCAGCGGCCAAGGTGCCTGTGGAAGGTAAACAGGTCCTGAAGGACCAGCACCAGGGCTTCTGGGAGCCGACATCTCAGGAGCCCCCGACGGGGTTCCGAGGCTGCCCGGACCAAGCTGACCGGCCCGTAAACCGCCCTCCGCCCTCAGGGTCCCTGAGATCAACTCTGGCTCTCTTAGGTTGTTTGTTTGGGGCCGTGACGAGTGACTGTTGTGAACGATCTTGCAGACGCTCCTCTGTGCCCACGTGGGGTCGCTTCTCGTGGGCAGATGTCTAGGCGGGAAGCAGGGAGATGGACGCTGATGTTTACAAGACATCGCTGCATGCTCCCCCAGCAGTGGGTGAGCCCCCACCCCCGCGCCATGGACACGGTGATCACCAGCATGATCCCGCTGCAGAGGGCCTGCTGGTTTTCACTGCGTGCCCCTGGGGTGCACGGCTATGAGCCCCTTCTCCCGTGCTTCCACCACCTTCCTTTGCACGTGAGCAATAAAAAATCTGTCTTTATCACTGAGTCACTGTCCTTCTCTATATGGAAGGGAGGACATGTCCCACCACCAGATGAGTAAAATGGGACACGGAGAGGTGTTCAAGCGGCTGGCCTGCGTAGCGCTGGGCTTGGGCTCAGCTTCTGACTCCGGGCGACCGTGGACGTCCCGCCTGCTCAGCAGGATCCTGGTGTGCACGGCGGGGACGCAGCGACCAACACCATCTCAGCTCCTGGAAGCTGCCTGTGCCTCACCTCGCCTGCCCCCCGGAAACAGGCTGGAAAATGGTTCGGCAAATCCTGCATTATGTTCATTTCTCTTTGCTGGGATTGTGCTGGGCTCTGAGTCACTCTCGATTTTGGTACCTCAGTGCTTTATAAATGGCCGGAAGGGCCCGGATGGTGAGTTCTGAGGGCCCATGTGCACGGCGTGGACTCTGTGGAGCTGGGTGATGGACAGGACTGCTGGATCTCTTCCCCATGGCCTCATTTCCCTTCCTTCTTCCCTCCTCCTCTGGCCCCTATCTCTGTCTCTCTGTTGTTTCAAGATCTCCATACCTGTTTGGAACACCCTGATGTCTCGGCTCTCCCGGGACGAATAGGGAGGCACGCCTTGGTCACGTGGCCTCGGGCAGTCACTGTCACCACTGGGGCTCCACCCACCTTGGGGGTCTTCCCTGGTGGTGTGAGCGCTGGACCCGGGGTCCCGATGTGCAGGGCAGTCGCCCCCTCTCTGGATGCCCCCCACACCCTGCCTTCAGGGTCTAGAGCTTAGATTCCGTGTGGGACGACCACGGCCCCTCCTGCCCGGGCTCTGGGGGCCGGAGCCTGCGGAGTTGAGACTGTTTTTCACTTCCGGATTCTTGGAAAAGGCTGGGATTCGCCTTCAGATGAGGGAAGGGCCACACAGAGGTGCAGCAGGTGGAATGAGGGTGGGCGAGGTGCCAGGTGCGTCCCCTGGAGGATGGCGAACTTGGCTGTGGCCAGTGTCCCCCATCCCTGCCGTGCGCACCCCGGTGTCCTCCGTCGGTTGGGGTGGGACATCTGAAAGCTCTGATACCTTGGATTCTTGGAGACCAGTGCCCAGAGGGGAGCATCGTCCTCTATGAGGGCCTTCCTGAAACAGACACCCTCCCAGGTGCACACGGCTCCCTGTGTCCTTAGTCTACTGGCCACGACCTTCCTGTGGACGTCTTCGGTTCCCTCTGCTGTAAGCCGATGGGCCTTGAGGGGGGCGACCCCCACCGAGGGCCCCCCACCAACACACCGCCAGGAGGCAGAGCCACCTGGGCTCCATACAGAAGACGCTTTGCTCCATCCAGACTCCAGGTTCACGGCTTCCAAAGAGGGTCACCGGACCGACCACGGGCTCTGGCCGCCCCCCAGAGCTCTCCATGTGCCCCTGGCAGCTGGGGCTGCTCCTCGCCTTTTCCTCCCAAGGAAGTTTTACACAGGGAAGGGGCTGAGCAGCTAGGCATGGCCTGGGAGCTGGAACACGCGAGTGGGCCGCCCTCACTCAGTTCCCCGGTTCCCAGCTGGGACCACTCGCCTCTCCTCTGAGTGCCGTAAGCACAAACAAGCGAAAATGGTTTAACATCCACGCTTACACCCACGCCATGAATCAAAGATCTAAAGATACCGCCACAGCCGAGAGCACCAACTCTTCAATTTTTTGTCACTGCCTCCGCTCTCCAGCCCCGAGGATCTCCGTGTGCTGTGGCCGTGAGCACTTCGTCCGACATGCAAGTTCACACCGCCTGCAGGGGGTCCTCCCCAGCTGGGTCTGGAGCCCAGAGGGGCCCCTGCGTTTGGTCCTTCCCCCCGTGCACCAAACACAGGCCCACGAAGGTCCCTTTCCTCTCTGGGGGCAAAGCGTCTTGCTGTTGAGAAGGATGGTTTTCCACTTCCAAGACTGGAGGCAGAAGCCAGCGTCAGCTCCGGGCACTGGGGCTGGGGACCCCTCATGCTTCCAGCTGTTGACAGGCCGGCCAGGAGAAAG